CTGTTCGGAGCCTTGGGGTGGCGGCCGGCCTAGGGAAGGGCCGCATCCCCGCGGAGCGCGGGAGCCCCTCTGGATTCCGCCACTCCTCTCACCGGTCTGGGACAGGAGCGAACCCGAACCCGCTGCTCTGCCGCCGCCTCCCTGTGCCGGGGCTTCAGGTCCCTGCGCCTCCGTGTCTCTCTCTGAAATGAGCATAGGAGTATGAAGCGTGGACGGGCACGGCGCCCCGAGCCTAGGCAACGCTTGGCACGACGGCACTGATACCAGTGGGGGACCCATACCAGTGGGGGACCGACACCAGTGTGGGACCGACACCAGTGGGGGGCCCATACCAGTGTGGGGACTGACACCAGTGGGGGACTGACACCAGTGTGGGGACCGACACCAGTGGGGGGACCGACACCAGTGGGGGACCGACACCAGTGTGGGGACCGACACCAGTGTGGGACTGACACCAGTGTGGGACCCATACCAGTGTGGGGACTGATACTCAGTGGCGTGTGGGACCAGGGGCCAGGTGAGGTGGACTGTGAGATCCCAAAGGCTTTTAGACGAGTGAGCATCAGGCTGGGTTTTAAAGGTTTTAGAAAATAAACTGGAGGGGCAACTGGGACAAGGTCTCTCCAGGCAGAAGGAAGCACAGGAACAAGAGTTTTGTTCCAAGAAAATGCTGGGTGATTCCATGGGAATTGCAGGTTTTGTCATGGGAACCACTTGGCTCACAATGTAAGGCAGCCTGTCCTATGGCTTTCTCCCTTCCTCTTCGCAAGGGAGTTCACTCTCTTTTTTCTCCCATAGCTGCTCACACCTGTCTTTTTCATCACTTTCCCACAGTGGCTGCTGCTATTGCCCACCAGGATCCCGACTGCTATGCCCCCTTCTAGGAGCAGTGGCCCAGGGCCTGGATTCACTGCCTGTGTATGAACATGTGTGCACACACACCTGGTTGGATCCGTTGCGGGTGAGAACCTCCTTCATGCTGAGCCAACCACGTTCTCCTTGAGAATTTGCACTGAGAGACCCTACGGCTGAGAGACAATGCTGGTCAAAGCTTGAAGCTCCGCCCGACTGCAGGGCACCATTCACACTGCTCACTCTGGGGACGACGTCACCCAATCTGTGTGCCCTCAGGTGGTGCCACAAAGCAGGGTAGGCTGATTTCCCTGGGGGGTCAAGCAGTTTGGGATCAGCCGTGGCCCCCCCAGCACCCTGGACAGCAGAGGGTAAGCAGGAGGACCCGCTAAGAGCCTTGCTGGGAAAGCCCACATGCCCAGCCCAGCCCAGCCCAGGAAGGAGCAAGCTTGTGACCAAGGGCCCCAAAGAGGAAGGAGCACAAGGAGGACAGTCCGCCGGGCCGCTGTGCACGTTTCCTGCCACACTTCGCATGGACTCTTCGGTTGCTTTTGGTGTAGCAGGGCTAGAGTGGCAGGCCGTTCTTGTTTTAATTTGCCTCTCTCTGACTGAGGGAGAGCTTTTCTTCTATCCTTGCAAGCTTTGTGAGCTGCTTTATAAGTCACTAGTTCTTATCTCTTGACCATCTTGGTGTGAGGGCAGAGATCATTTGGGAGGTGCCAGCATACCAAAGGTAGTTGAAGCCAGGAGAATCAGCCGACAGCCGAGGGTCAGCAGCGTGTTGGTCAGCAGCGTGTTAGCCAGCCAGCTGGTGAGGACAGGGAGGGCTGGGCTGAGTGGGGGGCCTGGCTCCATCTGAAAAGTGGGATGACACTAATACTTAAATACCCAACTTGGAGGGTTTCTAGGACAGTCCAGTAAGAGCCACATGTAAACGCTTAGTAGAGTGGAACGTGTGACATCCCACAGTATGAGCACTCAACAAAGATTGTGACTGTCCTCACTGCTGTATTAGTGTCCTAAGGCCACTATGACAAATTCCTGAAAACTACAGATGTGTATCTGTCACAGACCTGGAGGCCAGAACTCTGAACATCGAGGTGTCATCTGTGGGCTCTTCTGGTGGCTCAAAGGAGAGTCTGCTCTAGATGCTGTCCTGGCATCTGGTGTCACTGGCAATGGTTACCGTTCCCTGGCGTGGGGCTCCCTCACTCTCCACCTCTGTCTTTTTTTTTTTTTTTTGAGAGAGGTTTGTGCTATAGGGCGCGTGCACTCACCAAAAATGGAGAGAGAGACATAGAGACAGAAAGCAAGAGATCACCCCCCAGGGGGGATGGCCACACCGCAGTCCCTTCTCCTCCGTTCTCCTCTTGGGATCTTGGGCACACAGGCACATGTGCCCGGCATGAGTTTAAGCCACCAGGTCCAGGACTTGAACCACAGCTGACTACATGGGAGTCCAGTGACATAGCCATTATGCCAACTGCTGGTCCCTCTACCTCTGTCTTTACATAGCCTCTGTGTCACTGTGTCTTCTCCAGAAAAAGGATTTAGGGCTTGCCTTAATCCAGTGTAACCTTTTTTTTTTTTTTTAAGACAAGGTCTTGCTCTATTGCCCAAGCTGGCCTTAAACTCATCTTCCTGCCTCCACCTCCTGGGTAGCTGGCATGACAGGTGTGTACTGCCATGCCCAGCTCATGACCGTATCTCACCTGAATGACATCTACAGAGACCCTGTTTCCTAACACTCACAATCCAGGGTTCTAGATGGCCATGAATTTGTGGAAGACAGTATTCAATCCCCTCTATTGATATCTAAGAGTACGGGTCCCAGCAGATGAACTGTGAGAGGGACCCACAGTACTGTCATCTGCGTCAGGCCCAGCCCAGATCTGACCTGCCAAGCACTATGGGAGAAGGATCAAAATCAGAGCAATGAGGGCAACTGACTGGTGAGGGCTGGATCGGAACCTCACTGCTGGTTTCAGGCAGGAGTCTGGTCAACGGGCTTTCCAGCAGGAAGGCCCAGCTTGAGCAAAGACTGGAAGCGCAACCACACGGGTCTTGTTTGACCGATAGATAGGTTCAAAACGTACAAGAAACAGGTCACGGCAGCGACCTGAGGACCCTGAGCTCGCTGAGAAGCCTGGACTCATCTGTCAGTAAGAGGAGCCCTGAAAGTTTTGTGGGTTGAAAGAAAGTCGTCGTTGAATGTTGGCAAAGGCATAATCTTGATCTCCAATCGCTTGCCAAGTTAATTCCAAGTCCTAGGCTCTCTGTCTCCTTGGGTAGGCCACCTCCTCACTCTAGTCCCTGATCGCCTCTCTAGACATCCCTTGCACTGTAGGACCGGACTACAGTTCTTGGGTATTAAAGAGTCTCATGGCAACGGTGAGACTGCCCGCCGCCCCCAAGCAGAAGCATTCACAACTAGAGGTTTTATTTTAGCTGTGCTTCTCTTGAAGCATATGCAGTGACCATTTGGAAAAAGATAAAGTTAGATCCCTGCTTCACACTCTACACCAGATTAAACCCCAAATGGATCGGAGCTGAGTGTCAAAAGTGAAATGTACGAGTGCTAGAAGAGAACCTGGGTGACTTCTCTGTAGTTGAGAGTGAAGGGAACATTCTAAAAATGGCTACAAAGTCAGAAGCAGTTAAAAAAAAAAAAATGTTAGATGACCCCAGAACAAAAATAACAAAACGGGTCAGCTGTGGCGTGGTGGTTAAGGTGGCTGGATCATATGTGACCAACTGCACGGTTTGAGTCCCGGAACCGGCAGCTTCAGAAACATGCCAGATGTACCTGTATGTGCCCAAAATCCCAAAAGGAAGGAAAGATGAAGGGATTGCAGTGTGACCCTCGACCACAGAGTGTTTTGTCACTTTCCTTCTCTGTGTGTCTCTCTGGCAACATTTTGTTTTTAATTAATAAATAAGAGTTGGTTTCCTAGTTCTGAGCATTTAAACAACTTAGAAACAGATGCCTGAGTGACAGTGAGCACGCGGTTTCGGCTTCTAGGCGCTGTTCCTGAAGTTGGGCATGGAGACACCTGCTTACAGAAATGCAGCAGCAGGCCGAGTGGGCCTCCTCTTATGTCAGGGATCAAGGACATGCTCAGAGACCAACAGGGAGGTGTCAGAGGACACAGAGCAGCATAGGTGTGCTCTCGGTGACAAAAGTCCCCAGTGGGTTGAACGATGGCCCCTAAAAGATATGTCCCAATTCTAACCCCCAGTACCTGTGGATGTGACTGAATTTGGAAAACACAGTCTAGCAGATGTAATTGAGAGTCTCCAAACAAGATCATCTTAGATTAACCAGCTGGGTCCTACATCCAACAACACATGTCCTTGACAGAAACAGAAAAGGGGACCCAGCCGGAAGGAGGGCATGTGAGGCCGAGAGGGAGAAAAGCAGCTGAGAGCCAAAGAGCGGCCCCCGCCAAGAACTCGGAACATGGCCGTGCAGGTTCTCTGGAAGGAGCCAGCTCTCTGGAACTGGGGAGAATGAATCCCCGTGGTCTTAAGCCACCCGACTTGCAACAATTATTACAGCAGCCACAGGAAATGAATACATGGACCACAAAAGGAATCTCTGCGATTTAATGTGAAACATTCAATAAATAAAAATCCATGAGTTCATAGGGATTCTCTGAAGGAAAAAAGAGAAGAAAAGGACCAATTATGTCAACACTGAGCATCTGCAATTGGAAAAGATGAATCACTTATCCCCTCAATTTTGGAAGAATTGCAGTTTATCCCAGTTCATGGGGAAAAAATAAAAGCTAGATAACAAATGTAGAAGGAATAATACTGTGAATTTTGAAGAATT